TCTATCACTTGGCTGTCCTACCTTCCTCCGGTAGAGGTTAAACTGCCCCTCCAAGCATGAGGTAAAACTGCTACCAGAGGGTCTGGACCCTCTTGTTATGGCCCGCTTACTCGCCAGCTAACTGCAATTGGAGATTTGCTGTAGAATAAATCCAACAAACATACCGCTTTGTACAGCGAATCTCCTCCTATTCCATTTTCCTCTTCCTTTTCATGCTTGAGTTCTCCGTTTTTGAGCATACTCAAATATTGATACATACTTACTGTCTGGCTTCCTTACATTATTTTCTTTTTCTGTATGTATAATTTTTCCCTTAGCGAACTCCAATGCAGATACGGCACACTAGGCTGCGGCCTCTCAGCGACCGTGTTCCGGTCGCAGCTGCAGACATCTATCTATGGTCATTAAACTATCTTAGGCCATTTTCTGTCTGCAGAACCATAATATTTCGGCTTTACTGCTCCTGCAAGAGCTTAAACTGCTCTTATAATAATTTTAGTTTTTCTCCGGCCGTGTGCCCTCTTTGCACCGAGATGTGGCGCGCGGTGGTTCTTAATTGGGCTGTCCAAATCCTCTGCATGAGGTTAAACTGCTAGACGGGTTCTCCCGCCCGTCGGCTACTTTTTCCTTACTTTGGACTAATACAGGTCAATTTAGACTAGCAAAGTTCTCTTATTCACTGGGTAAATTGGGATTTAGTTCTAGTATAGTTATTAGTAATTAGATGTAGTAAATAATATAATTATTTGGGAATATTACATTAAAGTTTATTTAAATTTCTACTCCTCAAGAATAATATGGCTCTAAAACAGAGGTTTTAGGTACTCTGTCGCATTATATGCTTCTATGACGAGGGGGTCCGGGCGTTATGCTGGCAGGCCAGCTAATGCTTACTTGGTCATTGCCTTGAAACTTCCTCATTCCTTTTCCTTAACTAACAAATTATTGTAATATAATGTCTATTATTATTGTAAAACTGTATCTAATAAACAACATAAAACATAAATTATATCAATAAAACAGCTATAAGCAAAAAAGGGGAAGATTGGGAAGATGGTGGTAAGGCAAGGGCTTGTGGGTTGTATTGTGTGTATGACGGTCGGGTGCTGCACTCTGTGCTGTGGCCGACCGTCATGCAGACGATACGTGGGGCCTTCCCCTCAGTCTCTCTTTTTTTTTTTACCTCTTCGCTAAACCTAAATTCTCTCGGTAGCTTGATATGGCAACTCTAAAAATTCTACAAACTCCACCCTCCTGGGCACGAGGATAAACTGCCCTCCTCTTCGCTAAATCTTGATTGGGTTTTCCTTGGTAGCTTGATAGGGCAAGTCTAAAAATTCCACAAACTTACTTTGTTTATAAGACTTGCGCTTATACAGGGTTCCCCATAATAGACTACTTATTAATAAATTCCCTACGAGATAACTAAAATAAGTTGTTCTCTATGGGAATATCTTTGTTAGTTTTCATCAATAATTATTTAAGTTAATTAATTTTTTTGCTTTGAGACATTATTTCAACATCCGTTTGAACTTTCATGGATTACTCAGTCCAACAACGTGTGTTTTGTGTAGAAACTTACATAAGAAGCAATTCGATAGAAGAATTCTAACTTAAGTTAGGCGTGCATTCCGGCGTCAGTTTAATAACAACAATAGGGGTCACGCGCCAAATCGTAAAACTGTTAAGTTATGGGTTCGTCATTGGCGTGAAAATGGTTCTGTACAAAATTTGAAAAAGCCTGGCTCGTACACCAGAAAATATTGAACGAGTTAGAATTGCGTCTACGACTTTACCACTTTTTATCTAATATTGAAAAATTGTTGAAGTTGGTGGAGGTCATTTAGAAGACGTGATTTTTAAAAGTTAGAATTAAATTAGCCAAATATTAATAAGTTATCATAAATCCCAAAGAGTTAGCTGTAATTTAGTATAATAAAAAGTTTGTTTTGTTAACTAAAAAATTTTTAATTCAAATTTTAAAATGGGTAGCCTATTATGGGGAACCCTGTATAATCCTCGATGACCGCTTCCTAAGGCTTTTAGCCATCTCTCTCCTGGGTCTTATCAGTCAGCCTTGCTTTAATGCCTGATATGGCAATTCTAAAAATTCTCTACAACTTGTACCCCGTCTTCTGATAGGCGTACGCACAACGTCCTTCCTCCTTGGCATGAGGCTTAACTGCCCTCCATAAATAACTTGTACATAAGTTGCTTCCTCGCACTCTATGGCACGAGTATAAACTGCTCTCCATTGTCTATTTTATAGCTAAATAAGTGATCGCGTAGGCCGGGCCAGCTAGCACCAGCTTTGCTCGTCCGTTCGCGATCTCTTCATCCACAATTCCCCCTCAGGAATCTAAAACACAATTAGTAATTAAGTTAGTTTAGACTAGTTAAGTTAGGGTTATTTGCTGGGTCTTATAACGGTTTTCCGTAAAATAAATCTTTCATTTCTTCGCTTTGTTGCGTATCGTAAAACAAGGGTTTTAGGTACCTTGTTCCACATTGTGGTTCGTTGACGAGGGGGTTCCAGCATGACGACACCGTCTGTCCTGCGCTCACTCTGCGCCAAATCATTCCTTTCCTTCCCTTACCATCTCACATATGTACTATACCGTGGTCTACTAACCAATGCTTCATACATACAATGTAAAGCCCTCGGGCTAAGATTCTAAAATTTTTTGTAAAACTACTAACACAATTGTAATAAATTTTAAAAGCTAAATAAATTTGAAAAAAGCCTCGAGGCAACAGTAGGGAAGGGAGACAGAGTGGTTGGCAAGGGCTTGTGGGTTGTGGTTCGGACATCGTGACCAAGGCCGGTTCGCTGACCTCGGCCGCGATGCCCGGACTACCTGGGGCCTTCCCCTCTGTCTTTATTTTTTTTTACCCCTTCCTTGCTAGTAGATCACTGAATTAAATAAAAATTATTATTATTGTTTGGTGCTCTAAGAATTTGGTTAAAGTGAAGTGTCCCCCTCCTCGTGGGCTACTAGCGGGCCACGAAATCTCAGGCAGCAAGACAGGGCAGTTTAACTGTTGTCTAACCGTGCGACAAGGCGTACGTGTAAGTTCTCGTGTCCACACACTCACGAGATTCCTGAGGTACGGCTAAGAGACACACCCCCTTAAAGCGCCTTCGGGCGCTTTTTTTATGCGCTCTTGTGCAAAGCTCTTCCCGTGTGGACTTGGTGTTAGTCAATCGCGCGTGATCCCAACGGTGGTGTCAGCTTCTAACCCAAGCCCCCTTTGTCACCCGCCCCGTTGTCGCTTCTACCTTAAAAGTCCCGCTGTGCTGGGTTGGCGGGAAGGACAGGCCAGGGAGCGTTAATTTCGCGCGTGGCACCAAGTCCACACCATACCACATCATGAGCCACTCCGATAGGAGTGATTCAATCACCCCAATAAGTGACTCTAAGAGATCCTCACTTTCCCCTAACTCATCACTGCATTCCGTCACCGACGGTGCACCCGCCGACTCCTCGGAGCTGACGGGCGGTGTCGGAACGCAGCCAATTCAATCAGAATCTATTCAGTGTCTGAAGAAACTTGAGGAGGCGCTAACCAATAAAATCTCCTCTTCAATCACAGAAGGGGTAAATTATCTTGCCTCTAGCTCTTGCCAAAAGGCTAAAAAAGAAGACGCTATTAAGCGCGTCAAGGGTATATTCACTCAGCTTTCTTTGGACATTGAGAATCTACGTAGGGCACAAGGTGCCGCAAAAGGCTTTGGCGACCTTTTGAATTCACTAAACTCAATTGTAAATAAACTTACTAATCCTCAAGTTCCTCCCGTATCGTTATATGCTCCTATCTCGTACGCAGAGAAGGTTGTTGGCAGGCCCAAGGCTGGTTCGTCCGGCAGAAGGCAGACAAACAAAGTGCACAAAATTGAAATTACACCTATCAATTCAGATGACTTTGAGTCATCGTCAGCCGTCAAGAGCAGCGTTCTAGACAAGATAAACCCAGCCAACATAGGCTTTGCTCCTACTAAAATTTACCCGTCTAAAAACAAAAGCATTATTATAGAATCAAACAACGCTGGCATAGAGAAGTTGATCGACCGTCCTGAACTGATTACATTAAAACTTAAGGCTTCCGCTCCCACAAAGCGCCTGCCTAGAATCTCTATTTTTAACGTTCCCTCCACCCTATCGGGAGAGGAACTTGCTGAAACCATTCTGGCCCAAAATGAACTGACTAATTTTACCATCTCAGATCTTAAACCTGTACACAAGTTTGGAGCTAGAGGCAAGAGTATCGTCCATTGGGCTGTAGAGGTCTCCCCAGGCCTGCGCAAGGAGATGCTCAAAATAAAATACTTAGGCATAGGCTGGTCTAACTGCCGAGCGGAGGACAGGACCCGCGTCACCATATGCAACAAGTGCTTTAAATTCGGCCACACCGCCGCTAAATGCAGGGAGACGACACAGTTGTGTGGTTTCTGTGCGGGCAATCATGAAAGGAAGGAATGCGAACACGTTAATGACCCATCAAAACTCAAATGTGCTTCTTGTGTTCAATTTAAAATGTCCAACAATCTGGCGCATCTGCCTGGTGCAGACACTTGCAAGACATACAGTAGGAGAGTGCAGGCACTCATTGATGATACTGATTATGGGCCTTAAAACCCACAATATTAAGCTCTGCCAAATTAATCTCCACCACTCCATGGCTGCTTCGTATGCGTTCTTTAACTCTCCTACTGTTCAAAAGTTAGATATTGCTCTTATACAAGAGCCTTATTGCACATATTCACACACATCCAATAAGTTTGTTATTCCGGGCATAGGTCATTACAAAGTCTTCTCAGACTCCTCGTGTTCTTTCCGATCATGCATTGTCTTGCTGAACCCCCTCATTGACGTCCTACCTGTTAACTTTTTGAACTCTGACACGGTTGTTACTGCAACCGTTGAGTGTGGCGGCCTGTCCTTTCGCTTATTAGTGCTTATCTTCCTCAGAGAGAGGAGCTGGAGGTATCTGCGGATGTAATGTCCAATATAATCAAAGAGATTGGTCTTCCGGTCGTTATCGGCATGGATTCCAACGCCAAAAATCCTATATGGCAATCTTCTACTCTAGACCATAGAGGCGAACTCCTAGAGAGTTTTGCCTTCGAAAACGATCTATTTATTCTTAACACACCACAGCCCTTTACTACCTTCAGCTCTCCTCTCGGCGAGAGTAATGTGGACCTCACCTTGTGCTCCTCTGAACTAATTAATAAACTCTCCGAATGGACGGTCTCTCCGGACATATGCCCTAGCGACCATAGAATGATCTCATACAAGCTTGCTCTTCTTTCTCCAAAGAATCATGTGGCTATTACGTGGGCTAGACAACTCAGGCAGATAGATACAGACCGCGCTCTGGATGATGCAATCATTGGCATGCGTGCTGTTGACGGACTTCTCTGGTCTCCCACTGTGGAGTCTATTGACCGCAGAGCTACGGAACTCACGGCTCTCCTCGCCAGTATTGGCGAGAGTTGTCTTAAAAGGCGCAAAAGGTTCTTAGGCCGCCCTCTCTGGTGGAACGACGGACTGGACAGACTCAGGCTCAGAGTAAATCTGCAACGTAAAGCGTACCAACGCGCCAATCCCCCCTTACGTTATGCTCTCAGAACAATATATCTAAGTACTGCTGATAAATTCAGAAAGCTCATTGAGCGCACTCGATCACGGTCGTGGGGACAATTTGTAGGGGAGCAGCTGAATTCGGACCCATGGAGTCTGCCTTACAGACTATCCAGGGCCGGAGGGCTTGTCGAGCCTCCTCTTACCAGCATACGTCTCCCTGATGGCACCTCTACTCATGGCTTCACAGATACCGCCACTGCTTATCTCAAACATTTTGTTACTCATGACGATCCGTCACTTGACGACGTCTTCCAGCAAGTCTTTAGACATACCACGAGCGAGATGGTGGGCTGTGTCCTTGCTGTTGACCCTCCGACTGTCACTGAAGAGCAATTACTGGACATTCTCAGCAGTCTCCCCATAAAGAAAGCCCCTGGTCCTGACAATGTCTTCCCCGTTGTCCTCCGCACCGTGGCTCCGGCCATTGCAGATTTCTTGGCAAGACTGCTCAACGACTGCCTGCGTTTTAGCTACTTTCAGAAGGCACATCACACATGTATGGTCGCCACCCTCCGAAAGTCTCTCTATTATTTACAAAATGGCGGTTGTTCCTATAATTGGATACGCCTTCGACATTTGGAAAAGCAAGGCACTATACTGCAGGGCCGAAAAATTCCTCAACTCTTGTCGGGCACTATGCGCCCGCGTAGTCTCTGGCTCCTACCGGGATGTCGCGGCTGAAGCCGCGGGGGTCCTAGCTAACATAAAACCGCTTTACCTGGAATTATCAGAAAGATCTGCTCTGTCCAATATACGTAGGAAAATTCCCACCGGACATCTGCAACTGTCCTGGCCGGATGTGGATAGTCTCCCTAACATACACGATGCCAAATTCCTCATAGAGACTGCCAGCCTCGAAGACTGGCAGACCATATGGGATGATTGCCCAGTTGGACGCACTACCCATAAATTCCTGCCCTCTGTTACTATCAGGCAAAATATGAAAATCCCCCATTCTAGAGACTTGGCGGCCATACTCACTGGTCATGGCAGGTTTAAACGACATTTCCACATGGTTGGTAGAATTGAAAGCCCGGACTGCTCCCTTTGCAATGTGGTGGACGATCCATTACACCGCATCTACTGGTGCCCACTTTATGATGTACCCAGAGCTGCGCTCACCGAAGTCCTACCGGACTGGCCGATTTCTCCGTCAAACCTATTTGAGCATCTATTGTCTATCAGCTCACTTGGTCTTTTCTCTCATTTCGCCATATGCGACGATTTACCCACTAACTGAATTGTAACGTCAGCCCATAGGCTTGCTTGCTTGAGCCAACGTCGAAGTGGTACTGCGGGCCGGGGGGCGCCTGGGCGTGGGTCCCCTCTGCGCGGTTAGGCGGGCTGTGCCTGCTATGGCTGCTCTGTGGGGGCCTGCGACCGGGCGTCTGCTGGCTCCTCCAGTGCCATTGACGTCTCCCTACTACCGCAACATGCGCGGATATTTCAGTTCTTGCACCAAGACTGGAATTAGTTAAGATTAGTTAAGCTAGTTAGTAAGGTTACTCGGTGCGTTGGCCGATGCATACCCACAAAAATTTTTTATTTTACTTAATATTAATTAACGAGGCGACACCTCAAAATACATTTCAGTTAATTTATCCTAGTTATAAGTTAGTTTAGTAACGACTAAGGTCAATTCTGCTCCTTGCTCATGCAATAAAGTGTATCTGCATTATATAACTTATCATACCCACAAAAATTTTTTATTTTACTTAATATTAATTAACGAGGCGACACCTCAAAATACATTTCAGTTAATTTATCCTAGTTATAAGTTAGTTTAGTAACGACTAAGGTCAATTCTGCTCCTTGCTCATGCAATAAAGTGTATCTGCATTATATAACTTATCACTGCTTAATCCAAGGGTTATTGGTACCTTGGGCACCAAGTGTGCATCACGAGAGGGGCCCTTTCACCGGGCCGGTGTCGGGTCTCTCTCCTTCCCAATTCGCTCTTGCTGCCTCTACACTTCCCAAAAATTGGGGTATCCATCGGCCAGCTACTTGCCGGCCTAATTCTCTTGTTCCATATACTAGATTGGTACATATTATTTCACTCTGTAATATACTCTGTAATTGATTTGTAATAAAGACGTGAGTTGGGAGGGGGAGAGAGAGAGGTTGACATTGGGCTTGGGGTTGCTGCTATTTGCGGCGCCGTCGGTGTCTGCGTTCGGACATCGTGACCGGGGCCGGTTCGCTGACCCCGGCCGCGATGCCCGGGCTACCTGGGGCCTTCCCCTCTGTCTTTCTTTTTTTTTACCCCTTCCTTATCTTTTCGCAGAGATCCCAGAAAGTACATTTTAGAGAGGGCCGGTCGACGGTCGATGCAATAAACGAACTAATCAATAAAATCAAAAGCAATACTAATAACTATGAGATCACTAGTTTTCTTGACATAAAAGGTGCTTTCGACAACCTTTGGTAGCCCACAGTAATTGACTCTTTAGTCAGTAAAAACATCTCAACCAACTCTCTCAACATAATACGTAGCTACTTAAAAGATCGACAAACCTGTTTTGAGCTGGGTCCGGTCAAGGTCCTCAGGCCCATATCTAAAGGCTGCCCTCAGGGCTCAGTCCTGGGTCCTCTACTTTTGAATGCGGCTCTAGATAGCCTTCTCAAGACACCTCTTGCTGACGGCTCTTGCCTCTTCGCGTATGCTGACGACATTGCGGTCTTAACTTCTGCGCAAAATCGACCTGGCATTGAACGAGTGACTAATCAAGCACTTGAGACGATCAGTTCTTGGGCGACTAAAAACAAACTAGCTTTCTCCATTCCTAAATGTAACTATGTAATATTTAAAGGCAAATGTGCTAGGAGGCCGTCTATCAAAATCTATAGCCAAACTATTCGGGGCGTGTTCTCGGCTAAGTATCTGGGAGTCATTATGGATCACCGCTTGAACTTGGACTTATTATTAATCACTCTTATTGAAATTGATGGAACTGACCTCCTGGCCCCGTTCGCTGTCTGTGACGAACTGCCGTTGCGTTAATTCGCACAGGAGCTGATCGTCTCTCGTCTCATATTATACATGTCAACTACTAAATCACTATTTACCAATCATAAACAATGTACCAGCGCGCACCGCCTATCTTTCCTACTGGGCACGAGGATAAACTGCCCCCCATTGTCCGACTCCGACCTGTGGGCTGACCTGCCGACGGGGCAGCGACGCCGATGCGTCCGTCTTGTGCAGGCCAGCTTACACCATATGCCCTGGTTTTCCCCTGTCTGGTTACTCTTCTGACTACCCTCCTGAACAAGAGGTAAAAATTATTCCTGCTTTTCTCGATATCGTCTGCTGTGGGTGGGCTTTTGGACGCCGCGTGCGGTGCCTGCATTGGCTGGGCCCAGCTGGTGCGGGCCGCGTGTGCGCCGTCGTTGGGCCGGCCCACTTCGTCTGTCCGTTTTTCCTCTGGTTTACTACATATACTGCCCTCCTGAGCACGAGGTAAAAAGGCTGCGCCATGCTGCGATCTGGCCTGCGGACGATGTTCATGGTTCCTGTACCCGGTCTGCCCAGCCGTTGCGGGTCTCGTGGTCGTCGTTGGCAGGTTTGGTCGCACCGCTTGTCCCGGTCATCTCTCTATATCTCTTCTCGTACTCACTACCCTCCCGGGCACGAGGTGAAAATGCCCCTCATCTGATTCACTATCCGTCTGCCGCTGTCTGGCTCGCCGACGGTGCTTGCTATGTTCGTATTCGGTCTGCCCAGCCGTCGGCGAGCTTGTTAGCCCGCCTGTCTTTTGGTTTTCTCTCGTCTACTTTTCCACACCACCCTCTCGAGGCACGAGGTGAAAGCCGCCTCATGTCTTTTGATGTAGACCGCTGTGGGTCTGCCCGCCGACGGTGTCTGGGGTATCGCGCCTAGCCCGGTCACCGTCGTCGGGCTGATTCACTTCGCCTGTCCCCGTTCTCTTCTGGTTCGCGCTGAGTACTACGGTCTCTCCCTTCAACGACCCCAGGCAATTTAATTTTTAGTTTAAGTTAGTTTTAGGTCACAGACTTCGGTCGTACCACATTTTTTATGTCCTAAGAGACTTCATAAATTTTATTTGAATTTGGTAGGTTATATCACAGAGGTATTAGGTACTCTGTAGCCCGACAGGGCGTCGTTGAAGAGGGGGCCCGGGCAATTGACATCGGGCTGTGCCTGATGCTATTGCTTCCAAGTGCCCATGTTTTCCCGTTTATGTTTCCCCAGTCCCTCCTTTATTCTCATACCTTTAAGGCTTTAACAGGCCGGCATCCCATTCTTTTACGTACCATATAATATAACTAGCAGATAAGTATACTAACGATTTAAATTTTAAACAAAATGTATAAATAACCGCTCTCGAGGCGTGAACCAATTGAAACATGTAATACTAACATATAATTGTAAAAATGAAAATAAAGCATAAAACAGCCAATGAGGCAAGGAAGGGAATCTGGGGAGACAGAGTGGTAGGCAGGGGCTTGTGGGTTGTGTTGGGGGTATCGCAGCTGGATGGGGACTTAATGCCTCTCCAGCGGCGATGCCCGCAACACCTGGGGCCTTCCCCTCGGTCTCTCTTTTTTTTTACCCCTTCCTTGCTAGAAGACACTAAAGTATACGATTATATTGTGCTTTGTTCTTTTTATCAATTTGGTTAAAGTGTGCGACCGCCTCCACGTGGCTTCTAGCGGAAACGAAGTCCAGGCAGCCGGGATTCGACTTATTCTATCCGTTGTAGCATGCACTTTTTACCTGCTACTTTTGATAGTCAAGAATAACGTTTAAATCTAAATTTTTATTCAATTTCACAAATTTAAATATATACTATATTTTTACTAGGAACGACACTTTTTGGAACAACACTGTTTCATGTATTATCTGCAATTAAAAGGTTTTAATTAGCTATTCGTGTGATTTTGCACTGCATTTACCTTTTTTGATACTTAATCAACTGATCACTGGTTGAGTATTAGACATTTGCTGTCAAGTGGTGCCACGATAGTTTTTGAGAACTGATTACATTTTTATGCAGATCGGGTGACTTGGGTGTTTGACTTTTGTTTTGCAGTTATCCGCTGAGGAGCCTGGAGGTCGACAAGCTCAAGCAAACCGGTTATTTTTCCTAAAGTTCCTTCTTCCCTTATATTTTATCTTTAACCTTCATTATAACCTCTAAAAGCAAAAATCTTCTATTAACATTTTTATTTTCATTTACCTTGGTCTTTGGCTGTAGCCGAGTGTGTATTTCATTGAATATGTAATCTGCGTTTCTTTTACCTTGCTACAGTCCTCATTTTCTCAAATGAAATAGCGGTGGTTTGTTGTTTACTTCAATTGTCATATGTGACACTTTTGTAGAGTGTCCTTTTTATCGACATGTAATGTTGGTTGCGTCTGGTGGAAGGCGCGCACGCGTGACTTCCACCAGACGCAACCAACATTACGTGAGACGCTGTAATTTTGGAAATTCCACGAAAAACGCTGCGGCGTGCCTTTTCCTAACCTCAACTTGTTTCTACTCGGCATGTATACCTAACAGTGACCATATTTCTTGGATTTGACGATAATTTCCCGGATTTGACGATAATTTCCCGATGATGACCTATTTTTACCGATTGTGACTTGACTGATTTCAAATTATCTCCATGCCAGATTATTAAATCTGTAAGTTGTGGACTGTGTTCAGTCAGGGAGTAGCTTTTACAACCTTATTTACTTTAAGGGCATGTACCTTGTAGTAGGATTTTATTCCAATATATCTTCCACCCTATTTTGACTCACCTTTACCATCACTCCAACCTGATGTCCAGATCAGCTTTGTACTCTTTTCTAATTGATCAGTGTAGGCTTTATAATATGGATACCAAACAAGAGAGCAGTACTCTAGCTTGGTACGAACCAATGAATAATACAAAACTTTCAATGCACCCTCACAATTCATTGATTGAGTATTTCTATTTATAAAACCAACCATTTTAAGAGCAGATTTTACAATACTAGTGATGTGGTCTGAAAATGATAATTTGGTATCAAAATATACTCCCAAGTCTCAATCAAGAAGAATGATTAAATCCTTGAGGAGGGTAAAAACCATTAACTTTTAAATTCAAATATTTCAAAAATTTACGATTGATCGATTCGACCCGCCTAATATAAACATTGTAAACTGGTGACCATATTAATGAACAATACTCCAGTTTTGTTCGAACTAAAGAATAATATAAAGTCTTAAGACATTTTTCACTTTTAATACCTGCAGAATTTCTAATTACAAACCCTAACATGCGTAAAGATTCATTACAAATATTGTTAATATGGATAGAAAATGACAAATTTTTATCAAACGTAACTCCCAAATCCCTCTTGCTAAAAACTCGATCCAGAGTAATATGGTTAATCTTATATTCAAACAAAACTGGATTTTGTTTGTTTGTATAGCTCATTACTTTGCATTTATTAATATTTAAATTTAAACGATTTAACTCACACCACCTTTCTATGTTTTTAATATCTTTTTGCAGGCAGAGACAACTTTCAATATCCTTAATAATTTTAAATATTTTCAGATCATCGGCGAATAGTAATTTTTTACAACCAATGTTATCTGGTAGATCATTAATAAAAATTAAAAATAGAAGGGGCCCCAGATTGGAACCCTGAGGAACTCCTGAGGTAGGAGTGATACAATTGGAATAAAAGCCATTATAAAAAACCATTTGTTTCCTATTTATAAGATACGATTCAAATAGTTTAATTAAATTATTGCTAAAGCCAATTTGTTCAAGTTTGCTTATTAAAACAAAATGATCGATTTGATCGAAAGCTTTTTTGAAGTCGGTGTAAATAACATCAATTTGATCCCTATTATCAATGCCTTCGGCAACATACTTCGTAAATACTGTTAGATTTGATAGCGTGCTTCTTCTTTCAAAAAATCCATGTTGGTGGGGTGACAAAATACACTCAATGTCTGAAAAAATATACTTATATAAAATAGATTAAAAAACTTTTGCAAAATTTGAAATAATTGAAATTGGCCTATAATTTTCGATATTAGACTTGGATCCATTTTGCATTACTCCCGGAATTCTACTAATAGATCTTTTATTATTTACAAACAACCAGAAAGATTTAGGATCCAAAGTAAGTTTATCTTGAATGTTGATAATATATTCATCATAATCTGATTTTATTTTTTTTTACATTGATTTCTAAGATCTTTAAAGAGTTGGTAAGAATATTCACTATTAAAAATTTTAAAAGTCTCATGTGCCTTTTGTTTATTTTGAAGCATCCTGATTAGTTCTTTACTATACCAAATTGGATAATATATTTTTTTATTTTTATATAGAGGAACGTGCTTATCAATTACGGATGAAAGAACAGAGTAAAACAAATCGCAAGCGGTATCAATGTCCGCACTGTTATTTAAAAAAGACCAATCAATTATACTTACTTCATTATATAGGTTAATATAATTAGCTTTTCGAAAATTGTACCTTCTGTTATCAGAAATGTCAAAATTTTTGAATTTTGAAACCTTGGCTTCAATGTCTATTTCAAGAGGCGGGTGGAACAGATCAATCTTAACAAAGGGATAATCAGAACGTTTGACTTCACAGTTAATATTCGTAAAAATTAGATACAACATCGCATTATGATTATTTAGTATTATATTGACTTGATTAAGCTCCAAAAAGTTTTTAAAATTTATAAGACAAAGCTTTTTAGAATCACTATCATTTTCACTATTATAACTATTAACATTAAAATCTCCAAAAATTAAAACATTTTTGTTATACAACCAATCACAAAGACAAAGTAATTCAAAAAATTGCTCAAAATCATTAGTACTAATATTTGGCGGTATATAAATAACTATTGCATAACATATAAAATTATTAATAACTATCTTACAACCTACTATATCCACGGTTACAATATTATTTTTTATAGATTTAAAGTCCAGTTCAATCGCATTGAATTCATTTTTGCAAGCCAATATGACTCCTTCACCTCGATTTGATCATACTCCTGGATCAGACAAATGTACAGCCTATAATAAGAAAGTTAAAAACCTAAATAAGAATACCGATTATGGAACTTAAACTAACGGAGATAAAAGTCTGCCAGATAAACCTCCATCATTCATCCATAGCTACCTACTCATTTTTTAACTCTCCAGAAATCAGCAAATGGGACCTGGCTCTGATCCAGGAGCCCTACTGTGTGCTGTCCAAGACTGCGGGCAAATACGTCATACCTAATATCAACCATTTTCATACCATCGCTCGCAGTAAGGCGCTCTTTAAGGCATGCATAGTAGTGCTGAATCGCAACCTGGACGTCCTGGCCTTGCCAAGTTGCTGTAGTGTTGATGTTGCCGCTGCCACAGTCGAGTGCGGAAGGCACAAAATCCTCGCCATCAGCTCTTACCTGCCTCCCAGAGAGGACATCGAAAATGGTCTCGACCAGGTCACGAACTCTATCACAAGTATCGGTCTTCCTTGTATAATGGGAGCCGACTCAAACGCCAAAAACCCGTCCTGGTTTTCTGATTGCATCGACCATAGAGGCGAGCTCTTTGAGAGCTTCGCATTCGGCTTGGATATGCACATTATCAACACTCCCTCTGATCTAAAAACCTACAGCTCTGTACATGGCGAAAGTAATATCAACGTCTCGCTCTGCTCTTCGAGCCTGCTTAACAATATCACTGAATGGAAAGTCCTTGCAGACATCTGCCCAAGCGACCATCGCCTTATCTCCTTCAGAGTGCACATCCCCGAAATGATCCGCTCGGCCGAGTTCACGTGGACCAGGTCTCTAAACTTACAAGACTCAAACAAAGCGCTTGACGATTGCATCAGAGGCATCGCGGACTTAGACGAAGCCATATGGGTCCCCACTACCCGGCATATAGAGGATCGCGCGGTTGGCTACTGATCGACATCGGCAACAAGCTTCTCAAGAAGAGAAAAAAGTTCACAAATCACCCAGTTTGGTGGAACGAGCAGATTGACCGGGCCAGAATCAAAGTAAATCAAACCAGGAGAGCTTTCTAAATGGCACCCTCCGAAACTAGACAAAACCTCAAAACTATATACATCAATGCTAGCCTAAAGTTCAAAAACCTAATATACAAAGCCAGGACCTCCTCCTGGAGCCAATTTGTTGTCGGCGAGCTGGAGAGAGACCCCTGGAGCCTGCCGTACAAACTGTCTAAAATATCAAGGTGTTAAGTGACTTAGGTCACACTCCAGGTTCTGAGAAGTGTGTGTCGTATGCGAGAAGAGTTAAAGCCCTGATCGAGGATACCGATTACGGGCCTGCCGTACAAACTGTCTAAAATATCAAGGTGTTAAGTGACTTAGGTCATTAATATATGAATAAAAACAACACTGTTTTAAAGTTTCACTAATTTATGACTTAGGTCACACTCCAGGTTCTGAGAAGTGTGTGTCGTATGCGAGAAGAGTTAAAGCCCTGATCGAGGATACCGATTACGGGCCTTAGAATTAAAAACATAAAAATATGTCACATAAATCTACATCATTCCAAAACTGCTTCTAATGCTTTTTTTAACTCTTCCTTCATAAAAGACAAAGATGTGGCTCTTATCCAAGAGCCATATTGCACCTTCTCTGCATCAGCAAACAAATATATCATTCCTAGTATTGGCCATTTCAGGACGGTTGCTGCTTCGGGGCGTGCCTTTAGGTCGTGCATTGTCGTGCTGAATCCGTTGCTACACGTACTCCCAGTACAGTGTCTGAATTCTGACCTCTTTGCCTCGATCATCATAGAGTGTGGTAATCTGTCTTTTGCCCTTGTAAGTGCGTACTGTCCCCCTAGGGACGAGCTCTGCGAGGTCTTGGAGAAGGTATCTTCAGACTTGAACTCTATTGACCTCCCGGTTATTATCGGGATGGACTCGAACGCTAAAAGTCCTGTCTGGTTTTCGGACCAGCTGGACCACAGAGGTGATATTGCCGAGAACTTTGTTCTCGAAAACAATTAACACGTCCTCAACATGCCTTCAAACTACACCTCGTACAGCTCCTCTTTGGGGGAGAGTAACATCGACGTCTCGCTGTGCTCTACCAGCCTGCTCGAGCTAATCTCTGGCTGGGTGATTTCTGTGGACTCTAGCCTTACTAAATTGCTGGCATCTATTAGTGAGAAATTCCTTAAGCGAAGGAAAAGGTTTAAAAACCGTCCAATCTGGTGGAACGACGAGATAGACACTCTCAGGATCAGGCACTGTCAGGAGATTCAATGCTTGTATTAACAAAGCTCGTTTCTCTTTATGGAATAACTTCGTGGTGGAGGAGCTAACGAGGGATCCGTGGAGTCTACCCTATAAATTGTCCAAGACAGGCGGTACTAAGAGACCCCTGATCTCGTGCATCCGTAATTCTAACGGTCAGCTTACTACTAACGGCTGGCTCCGTCCGCGATGCCCGGTCCACCTGGGGCCTTCCCCTCTGTCTTTCTTTTTTTTTACCCCTTCCTAGCCGGGAGGACTGAGAAGTCACGACCCCCTCCTAGCGGGCTCCCGGCGTTCAACGTGTCCGAGTGTCGTGCTTGGGCAGCATGTTTTCCTGGACACGGCTAAGAGTCGTTTAATGCTGGAAACCCATTTGGCCCACGCCACGCCACCCTACGCTACGTTACGCTACGCGACGTTTTGTTATGCAGAAATTTAACACAGGTTTCAATGCAATACGTACTCACTTGTCCCACGCCACCCTACACCATGCCACCCGACGTCAAACGACGTTTCGAAAATCAAATTGTTGTCCCCCTCCATGCAGCTACACACGTGCGCATGTTTTGTAAACAGTTTTCAAACATGGATGAACAAATTATTGAAAAAGTGTGTTCATGTGAGTTTCTGTACAATCAACATTAAAGAAATTTTGTTTTTTATTTATAATAATAGCAACAGAACACTCCTCTAATTCCCATTCCCATTCATCAGATGAAGAACTACTTGCACATTCCATTTTATTTACCAAAACGAACAATACTAATACTAATAAGTATATAAATCAATTTTATTATAATTTCATAATTTCATAAAGCAATTTTATTTTATATGTTTGTCATAAGACGTGGCGTAGCGTATTACTAGTGTGTACGGTGACTCGAAAACGTGAACCCACGTCAGTCGACGTCGAGTAGCATGGCGTAGCGTGGCGTGGGCCAAGTGGGTTCTTAGCATAAATCTCGAGGGGTCCTCTGCCCAAAGGTTCCACTCGCTGCAATGTGCCGTCTCCTCCCTGGCATGAGGTTAAACTGCCCTTTATGTAATCTGCTCTCTGTTGAACTTCTGAACACTACCGCCCTCCTTGGCACGATTTCGCAGTTGACATCGGGCTGTGCCCGGTGCTACTGCTTCCAGGTGTCCATGTTTTCCCGCTCATTTTTCCCCAATCCCTCCTTATTTTCTTTACCTTTAAGGCTTTAACAGGCCGGCATCCCATCCTTTTACGTACCACACAACATAATTTATTAGTTAAGTATACTAACAATTTAAACAAAATGTATTAATAACCGCTCTCGAGGCGTGAACCTGAACCATGTAAACACTAACATATAATTGTACAATTTAAATAAAGGAAGGGAACTGGGGAGACAGAGTGGTGGGCAGGGGCTTGTGGGTTGTGTTGGGGGTATCGCAGCTGGACGGGGACGTAGTGCCTCTCCAGCGGCAATGTCCGCAACACCTGGGGCCTTCCCCTCTGTCTCTCTTTTTTTTTACCCCTTCCTAGCTAGTAGATCACTAAATTGAATATAAATATTAATTGGTGCTCTAATAAGTTGGTTAAAGTGAAGTGACCCCCTCGTGGGCTACTAGCGGGCCACGAATTCTCAGGCAGCAAGACAGGGCAGTTTAACTGTTGTATAACCGTGCGACAAGGCGTACGTGTAAGTTCTCGTGTCCACACACTCACGAGATACCTGAGATACGGATAAGAGACACACCCCCTTAAAGCGCCTTCGGGCGCTTTTTTTATGCGCTTCTGTTGCAAAGCTCTTCCCCCGTGTGAACTTGGTGTTAGTAAATCGCGCGTGATCCCAACGGTGGTGTCGGCTTCTACTCGAAGCCCCCTTTGTCCCCCGCCCCGTTGTCTTTCCTCCTTAAAAGTCCCGCTGTGCTGGGTTGCCTTGGAAGGACAGGCCAGGGAGCGTTGGTATCACGCGTGGCATCAAGTCCACACCACATCATGAGTCACTCCGAAAGGAGTGATTCTCTTCCCCCCGCAGACTTAGACTCGTCTTCGGGCTCTTCGGACTCGAAGGGCTCTAGCGTGGCTACTCCCCCCAATGCCGTCGATCATGGTGCACCCGCCAATCCTCCGGCTGTGTCCCCGACACTACCGGTTGATCTGGCGGGGATCGACGACACCTCTAAAATCGTATTCGATTCTTTAAATGACCTTCAGGGTGTCTTTGCCGACAGAGTTATGGCGCTCATTATGAAGGGCTTAGACTATGTCACTTCTGCTTCAGGAAGGAAAGCCAAGAAGGACGTTGTCCTGGATACCTGCACTAAAACTTTCAGTTATCTCGAAACTGAAATGCATAACATAATAAAAACCCTCAGTTCCTCTATCAAAGCTCTTGACAAGGCAAGAGCAAGTACGAAAACTAGTGCAGGTGCCCAGACTATAATTGCTCCTCTCGCGGCTTCGACGTACGCATCAAAGGTTGTTGGCAGACCGAAGGTCGGATCTTCAGGCAAAAGACCGACAGTATAGTTCACAAAATTGAAATCTCGCCCATAAACGCCGAGGACTTCGAGTCCTCCAACTCTGTCAAAGGCAGCATTCTCAAAAATATTAATCCTGCTACTGTAGGATTTGCTTCCACTAAGATATACCCATCCAAAAATAAAAGCATAATTATAGATTCAAGCAACATTAACATCACAAAGCTGATAGACCGACCTGAGCTGGCCTTTCTCAAACTCAAAGCTTCAGCCCCCACGAAGCGTCTACCAAGACTTTCAGTCTTCAATGTTCCACCCAGTCTTACTGGTGAAGAACTAACCAAAATGATTTGCACGATTTTAACTCTAACCCCGGTGCATAAATAAGAAATAAGAGCATCGTCCACTGGGCCAATAACGTCAACCCTCAACTCCGCAAGGAAATTTTAAACCTCAAATACCTGGGTATTGGCTGGTCCAATTGTAAGGCGGAGGACAAAACACGCATTACCATATCTAATAAGTGCCATAAATTTGGACACACAGCAATCAAATGCAGAGAGCTAACCTTCACCTGCGGTTTCTGTGCAGGCGAACACGAAACGAAAACTTGCGAACATGCGAAAAACCCCGCCAAACTAAAATGCGCTTCTTGCGTACAAATCAAAATTACATCTAACCTTGCCCACTTGCCCGGTGCTGATAACTGCAAAGCATACAATAGAAGAGTTCAGGCCTTAATTGACGACACTGACTATGGTTCATAAGGCCCATAGTCTGAAAATCTGCCAAATTAATCTACACCATTCAATGCTTTCTTTAACTCACCTATTGTACAAAACATGGATATTGCTCTTGTGCAGGAACCATACTGCACTTTTACACATACTGCAAACAAGTTTGTTGTCCCGGGCATTGGGCACTACAAGGTTATAGCCGAATCTTCAAGTTCATTTCGTTTGTGCATCGTCGTGCTTAATCCGCTTGTGGATGTACTACCTGCTAATATACTAAACTCCGACACTATTGTCGTCGCTTCAGTGGAGTGCAGTGGGCTGTCCTTCGCTCTCATTAGCGCGTACCTCCCGCCGAGGGATGAGCTGACCGTGTCCGCGGATACTATGTCTTCTCTTATCAATGACATTCCTTCCTGCGATTATTTGCATGGATGCTAATGCCAAAAACCCTATATGGTTCTCAAACACATTAGACCACAGAGGCGAACTTCTCGAGAGTTTCGCTCTCGAGAATGACTTACTATGCATTAACACTAGTAACACGAGTAACGTGGACCTTACCATGTGCTCTGCAGCCCTTCTTAACAAAGTCTCTGATTGGACGGTGACTCTTGACATCTGCCCGAGTGACCACCGGATGATATCATTTAAGCTTGCCTTGTCTTCCCCCAAGAGACAAAAAGACTATGTCTGGTCTAGACAGATCAGACAAGTCAACGTTGATTATGCTCTCGACGAAACTATCATCGGTATGCGTGCTGTCGATGGTTTTCCTTGGGCTCCTACCACTGAATCTTAAACTGAGTCTTCAAAAGCGCAAAAGATACATAGGTCGTCCACTTTGGTGGAGTGATGGGCTTGACAGGCTCAGGGTCAGAATCAACTTGCAGCGCAGGGCGATCGAATTCCAGTTGTTCGCCCACAAATTGGCCCCACGACCGCGAGCGAGTACGCTCTATGAGTTTCCTGAACGCCCGGGCGTTCCAACGTGCTCGCCCCCCATTTCGTTCTGCACTCAAAACCATATACCTAGATACCGCTGACAAGTTCAGGAAACTCATAGAGCGTACTCGCTCGCGGTCGTGGGGCCAATTTGTGGGCGAACAACTCGAATTCGATCCCTGGAGCCTGCCTTACAGGCTTTCCAGGGCGGGTGGGCTCAGCGACCCCCCTCTCACCAGCGTTCGTCTGCCTGACGGCTCAATCACCCAAGGCTTTGCCGAAACCGCTACTGCATATCTAGACCACTTTGTTACCTGTGACGATCCTACCAAGGACGACGTCTTTCAACAGGTGTTCAGGCAGACAACGAGCAAGCTAGTGGGATGCGTACCCACTGTTGGCCCCCCACCGTGACTGAGGAGGAGGTCTTTGATCTTCTCTGTGGTCTCTCCATAAGGAAAGCTCCTGGCCCTGACAACGTCGTGCCGGGTTAAGTCCTTTGGACTGATCCTACCTCTCCTCCACTATAGCGCTGGCTTTTCTTTTGTTTGGTTTTTTGGCTTTTAAAGCTTGATAGGGTCCTATATCCTTTGGTAAGGCTTCTTAACCTTTCCATGTGCTTTG